TGTTACCTTCTGCCTCAATGGAGGTCAGCCTCTCTTCCGTAGCAGGGGAGGGGTGGCAGCCTTAGGCCTGGGGGGAAAATCCTGTCAAGTGGCCCATTGCACCAAGCGGAGAGTAAAAACACCTTTGCCATGTGAATGAAAGGATGGCGGGGGGTGGGGCAGTCATCTAAGCAGACACTCAATGACAGGCACACACACACTTGCTGATTTGGCACACTAAAAAACACACACACTCAATGACAGGCACACAGAAAGACACTGTTACAGGAATACTGACACAGATAGACATACTGACACACACACACAGGCATACTGGCTGACACACACAAACAGATAAATTGGCACACACATAGACGGACATACTGACACACACACACATACAAACTGGCACACACAGACAGACATACTGATACACACAGGCATACTGGCTGACACACACACAGACAAACTGGCACACACAAACAGACATACTGACACGTACACAGACAGACATACTGGCGCACACACAGACATACTGACACGCACACACACAGACATACTGACACGCACACACACAGACATACTGACACACACAGACATACTCATACACACACAAACACCTAAACTTTACACTTTTAAAACCAGTAGACAGGGGCTGAGTAAAGGGACAGGGCTGTAGTGGAGGGTATAAGCTGAGTTATGGGACTGTAGTGGGGGCATGGGGCTGAGGAAGGGGGCAGGAGCTGAGAGGGGGGAAATGAGCAGGGAAAGGGTGGGATAGGGGCTGAGAGGGGGATAGGGGCTGAGGAAAGGGACAGTGGTTGGGCAAAAGAGGACAGGGGCTGAGGAAGGGGACAGGGGCTGAAGAAAGGGACAGGGGCTGAACAAGGAGACATAGGCTGAGCAAGGAGATAAGGGCTGAGGAAGGGGACAGGGGCTGAAGAAAGGGACAGGGGCTAAGCATGGAGACAGAGGCTGAGCAAGGAGACAGAGGCTGAGCAAGGGGATAAGGGCTGAGGAGGGGACATGGGCTGAGGAGGGGGGCATGGGCTGACTAAGGGGACGGGGCTGAGGAGGGGGGACAGGGTCTGAGGAAGGGTGAAAGAGGGGAGCTGACTAAGGGGACAGGAGCTGAAAGGGAGAGGGGCAGGGGCAGACTAAGAGGACAGGAGTGAGGAGGGACACAGGGGGCTGAGTAAAGAGGGACAGGGCTTAGGGAAAGAAGGGGAACTGGGGAGCTGAGCTAGGGGACAGGGAGCTGAGGGAGTAGGGACAGGGAGCTGAGGGGAGGGACAGGGGCTGTATGGAGGAGGGACAGGGGATGAGGAGGGGACAGGGCTGAGGAGGGGGGGCAGGGGCTGACTAAGGGACAGGGCTGAGGAGGGGGAACAGGAGCTGACTAAGGGGACAGGGCTGAGGAAGGATGACAGGGTCTCAGGTAGGGGACAGGGGCTGACTAAGGGGACAGGGACTGAGGAGAGGACAGGGGCTGAGGAAGGGGACAGGGCTGACTAAGGGGACAAGGCTGAGGAGGGTACAGGGGCTGAGGTAGGGGACAGGAGCTGACTAAGGGGACAGGGACTGAGGAGAGGGGAGAAAGGGCTGTCTAAGGGACAGGGCTGGGGGAGGGACAGGGAGGGGCTGACTAAGGGACAGGGGCTGAGGAGGGGGGGCAGGGCTGAGGAAGGGTGACAGGGCTGAGGAAGGGTGACAGGGGCTGAGGAAGGGTGACAGGGGCTGAGGTAGGGGACAGGGGCTGACTAAGGGGACAGGGACTGAGGAGGGGAATAAAAAATCTAAAGTGTATTTCCCCCCTCCTTGAGTCTTACCTTAGGTCAGGGAGGGGTGGGCAGCAGCCAGCAGGAGCAAGGAGAAGCAGTCAGTGAAGTAGGCTTCTCCTGATGACGACAGGAGGAGGGGGCGTGACTTCCTCTGCTCTTCTCCCAGATTCCCCAGTGGTCCTGGGAGCAGTGAAAGTCACGCCCCCTCCTTCTGACATCAACAGGAGAGGCCGGCCGACTCCACTGGCTGCATGCTGCAGGGAGAGTGAGTTAAGTTGAAAAATCTGAGTCCTCAGCCAGAGACAGGGGATTCAGATTTTTCCTTTGTTTGCTGGATGCAGACGGCCCTGGGTTTAGGGTGGCCTGGGGGGCAATTGCCTCTCTGCCCCCCTCTGAGGGTAACAACCTATAAAATAAAAAATATGAGCATGTGTCCTTAACTGCAATGAAAGTGCGGGCAGGTATGCGCCGGGCCGACACTTCACCAGCACGGCGGGGAGGAGTGTGACCAGCAGCCGGAAGCAGCCGCTCCCACTTGGCCTACAATGTCTCTCAACCCAGCCGTGGGAAAAAAAACGACACCGCGGTTGGATAGCGAGCGTGGGCAGAGTGAGTGATACAAACGAACGGCTCCCGCTCGGCGGGCTGGGGCCAGCACGTGGGACTGCCGGAGTCTTACTCCGCGGTCCCGGCGGTCGGCAACGGGAGGTGGTCAGAGGACCGCCGCCCGGCGACTGCAGTAAACAAGCGAGAGGAGGAGGGGGGAAAGTACGAGAGGAAGGGTGGGAAAAGAAACAGGCCACCAAATAGAAAGGGAGAGGGGAAAGCAACAGGAGGCACCCCAGATCCCCAGGCCTGTGGAGAAAGCCCCACAAAGAAAGTCCCTAGCAGAGTCCCTAGCAGGGGATAACCTGCAAACAATACCCCCAGACAAATGCAAATCGCTCAATACAGATATGCACAAAATAAATACAAGAAAAGAACATAGAAAACAGTAAAATAATCCACAGCCACCCCAAGTTAACAGGAGGCAGTGGTACTCTGACCTGTACTGAAGCGGAGCAGCAAAGAAAGAGGAAATAGTTGGTTGGGAGGAGCCTTTTATGGATTCTTTACTTTTTTCTGATTGGTTGTTTTTCTCTGTGTTAATGTGCTGCTGTGGAGCTCTAGTAAAGAAAGACTTAAGCAAATATGAAGCCTCCTGTCATGTTATAAAATCACAGACTTCCCGCACTACACTAAAGAACCAGGAAGTAACAGAACTAGTTGCCTGATTGACAGTAACAAGGTTAGTTTATAAAAGTGCCAATTTCTACTGAAATCTGCACTTTTTGTAAAATGAAAAAAAAAGCAAAAAAAAAAGCGGACACACTGTTTGCACATAAAGCACATTAGCAAGATTAAGTGTTTCAGGTGTTTGAAGTGTTCCTTTAAAAATCCCTTCATTAGGGTATAGTATACAATGGAACGGAATCCTTGACAGTGAACACAATCCTCAATAGTCTCCAAGCAAAATAAACAATTAATGTTCCTCTATTTTCTCAGAATTCTGTTTTCTTGGAAAAGCTATGTTTTTCAAATCATTGTACAATGCTGTGCAACATGTTGGCACTTTTTAAACAATAACAATAACAATATTAATGAAACAATTGTTTGTACTGCACAACCTTTTTGAAGTATGCAAATTGTGATTTTACATGTAGAAAGTTTAAAACAATGTGAGATGTTTCTCTTCACACAAAGCATCTAGACAAATCTGTGTAGACATTCTAGGTGATTATATATTTGCTTTTTTTGCTTAGTGAAGAGTTTGTGAAATGTTTTAACCATTTATCACGGGTATCAGATCATGCCAGCCAAGTTCCCCATTATCATCTTTTCATGACCCAGTTGCCACATCAAAAATGTACTGTACATCAGAGCTACTACATGCTAACAAACATTGCCAAGGCTTAGTGTTCATACTTTGCCTGTATTTTTTAAAGGACCACTATAGTGCCAGGAAAACATACTAGTTTTCCTGGCACTATAGTGCCCTGAGGGTGCCCCCACCCTCAGGGTCCCACTCCCGTGGCACTGGGGGGGAGGAAGAGGTTAAATCATACCTTTTTTCCAGCGCCAGGCTCCCTCAGCGCTGGGTCTCTTCTCTCTCTTCTGACATCACCAGGTGAATGCGCATGCGCGGTAAGAGCCACGTGTGCATTCAGCCAGTCCATAGGAATGCTTTCCTATGGACGCTGGCATATTCTCACTGTGAAAATCACAGTGAGAAGCGCGGAAGTGCCTCTAGCGGCTGTCAATGAGACAGCCACTAGAGGCTGGATTAACCCATAGGTAAACATAGCAGTTTCTCTGAAACTGCTATGTTTACAGCAGACAGGGTTAATCCTAGATGGACCTGGCACCCAGACCACTTCATTGAGCTGAAGTGGTCTGGGTGCCTATAGTGGTCCTTTAATCTCAATTTAATTATTGCACTTATTTCCATTTACTCATGGATACATAGCTGTAGATTTAAAGACTGCATACATACACAATGAAAATTTATTTTATTTCAGCTTAATCTATGAGAATTCAGAAATTTGTTTCAATGTTTGAGATTTTTGAAAGCTTGCCGTCACAAGTTAAATAATCCACATGGTTCTGATTAAAG